TTTTTTAAGGATGGGGACACAGGTTCAGAGACAGAATCAACTTGCCCAAAGCTACAGAGCTTGCAGGTGAGAGAGCAGAATTCCAGGCTGAGACCCTCTGCCTCTCACACCAATGCTCTCTCCTCTCTAGAAATATGCAGTGCGTGCCCCTCCGCCCTTGGCCGCTGCCTGGGTGCCATTGCTGTCCCCTCTGGCCGGCACTGCCCCTCACCAGCACTCAGCCTCTCAGGAGGCAGCCCCCTGAGAAGCCGTGGAAGGGGAGCTTGGTTTTGAAACTTCTCCGCTTTGCCATCCTTAGAACTCAGCTTTATATTGTCCTTGCGGAAAGACTCCCGTGCTGGGGTCGCATTCTGAGCCCGTCTGGCAAACATAGCCCAGAATTCTGTTAGTCCTCCGTCGGAGCAAACAGCCGCCAGGAGAACAAGTACAGCAACACAACAAAACACACTGTACAAACATGTTGATCACAGCATCGTGTATCGTGGAGATTATCGTGGACCACCATTCCTCGTGGTCCTGCGGGGAAGGGGGAGGCCAGGGGAGCTCATGAGAGGGCTGGCTTCGTGGGAGGGCCTGAAGCCAGGTTTAATCCTCTGTCTTTTTTTTTTTTTAAGATTTTATTTATTTATTTGAGAGAGAGAGAATGAGAGACAGAGAGCACGAGAGGGAAGAGGGTCAGAGGGAGAAGCAGACTCCCCGCTGAGCAGGGAGCCCGGTGTGGGACTCGATCCCGGGACTCCGGGATCATGACCTGAGCCGAAGGCAGTCGCTTAACCAACTGAGCCACCCAGGCGCCCCTAATCCTCTGTCTTAAAATTCTTCCTTTTCTCTTTGAGCTTGTAAGTGAAGTCCAACAGGACACTGTGGGACGCACAGGAGCCGAGAAGGTAACCTGGAGAAAGGAAAGAGCTTTATACTTTGGGTGCCTTGAATGGCACCGTTTCCCCGACTCAGGGACAAGAGACACATATTTTCATTTTGCAGCGGATCCCACAAATTATGTAGCTGGTCCTGTGTGTAGCAGTGGGAAGGGCACTGGGCTGGCGTCCAGGACGGTGGGGTTCAAGGTTACTCCCCTCTAGGCCCACCTGTGAGGGGCTGTCCTGCTGAACTCTAGGATATTTTTTAAAGATTTTATTTATTGTAGAGAGAGAGAGAGAGAGAGTGCATGTAGGGGGAGGGAGAGGGACAAGCCGATTCTGTGCTGAGCACGGAGCCCATCACTGGGCTCGATCCCAGGACCCTGAGATCACAACCTGGGCCGAAAACCAAGAGTGGGACGCTTAACCGACTGAGCCATCCAGGCGCCCCCTGAGCTCTAGGATTTTATGAACAGTATGTAGTCATTAGAAATGGAGAATATGTAGACTCCATCAATATCAAGAAAAGTCAGTCCCCATAAAAAAAAAAAAAAAAAAAAACCTGTGGTGAGAAAAGCCGGACACAGGAAGAAGACCCCTCCCCACCCCTACCCCCGTCACAGCAGGTGATCTAACTAAGGACCAGCAAGGATAAGGCGGGAGTTTCACCAGGTGAAACAGCTGAGTTGAGTTTGTAAGGAACAGGTTTTTCAAAAGCTGGTGGGAAGGAAGCAAAGATGAACCTGCAGGAATTATGCCTGAAGGGGTGGGATTTGAGACAAGATGAGGGGGAGGTTTTCAGCTTCATTAGACCACACCCTCTCAACCCCCCTACCCCCACTTCTCTTCCTCTCTTTCTCCCACCCGATATCCCTTCCTTCCTTCCACTCCCCCGGGGCTGTGACTGAAGGGGGGAAGTGGGAGGGCCCAGGCAGGGGAGGGGAGGTGCGGGCTGGGAAGATGGGGTGCGGTGGGGAGGGGCTTGCAGCTCCCCTTCAGCCAGCCCGTTTGCGTGATTGCGGGCTCCAAGATACCTGAGGTTCTTCCACCCCAGATACAGCGACACCCCCCTCCCCCCCCATTTCAGCGCTGCCAGGAGCCCCAGTGAAGTGAGAGGGATCAGAGGAGCTGCCTGCCAGCGAGCAGGGGAGGGGGAAGGCAGGTGGGAGGGCTGAGAAAGGGGAACAGGTGGGAGAGGGAAGGTGAGTCAGCACAGAGCAGAGCGGGCAGGGGTTTGCAGGCAGCCAGCGGGGACTCGGAGCCTCCCTGCAGCTCCCGGCTGCCTCCTGGCTCTGGCACGCCATGGCCCCTCCCCCTGGGCCCGCCCCCAGGGCCCACGCCCCGCGCTCCTCTCTGGCACCCCAGAAAGTCTTTGCTTTTCCAGCCCTTGTCAAAACTCGCCTCTGGTCATGCCCTCATGTTACCCTCTAAGATATGTCCCAGGTCAAAGATTCTGAGTCCAAGGTGCCTGCACCTTGGAGGTCCTCTTCAGTGACCCCTGGTTACCCAGGCGCCGAAGCATCCCTGGGAAGGCAGTCGGCCGGAGAGGATGAGATTGGGGAAGCCCCCCCCCCCCCGGGGGGCCTGCAGGACTGGACGGAGGGACATCTCCGATGAGTCGCGTGGGAGGTGAGACCCTGGCAGAAGGGCACCAAAGGCCCCTCTGTGAGCGTGGACGGCTGTGCTCTCGTCTTGCTGAGCTGGTCTCCCCAGGCCCTTCGGGGGCCCCCAAAGGTCACAGGAGCACTCTGGGAAATCTGGATGGGGGCAGCCCCTGCTCCTCACTTAGCCCCTGCCTCGGAGAGGGCGAGTGAAAGGGAAGCAGGCCTCCTGGCCTCTGTCTGTCCTCACCTTGGTTCATGTCAGCCCCTTAGTTCCCCGGGCCCCCACAAGGATTGAGACCCCCATCTTCATCTACCTGCCTCTCGGGATGCGGTCAGAGTTTAGTGAATGAAGGGATGGGAAGGGATGTCTCACATGAAGGGAGACATTAGGACAAGTTATTTGTTGAGGGATTTGGATCCCAGGCTAGTGTCTTTCTCCAGGACAGAAGCCTCAGGTTCTCTTGTTAAACTGTTAAAGCCCGTTGGATGCACCATGTTTTACCCAAAGGCAGCCATGTCACCAGTGCTGGGGAAATATGATCATTCACAAAGCAGCTCACAGCACCTCACAGTAGGTGAGCTTTGGCCTGCTGCTTCCCTGCATTTCCTGAGGTAGTGGTGCCTTTTACCTAGAAGATTCCTGGGAACAGCGAGGGTTCCCGCTGCTTCCTTACACCTCGACTGTTGGGTATACAGTTGGCACGTAGACTAGAGGTAGAGCTGGAAGGGGCTCTCACACTGGAAGTTTCTGTGACAGACTACCACATACGGCCACAATGCCACCCCGGTGTGGACACCCTTTGCCACGGGACTTTTACCATGCTCCCAGAAGCTGGAGTCTGATTTCCCACTCTTTGAATCTGGGCTGGCCTCGTGACCTCATTGGCCAAGAGATTGCGGTGGAAACGACGTCATCCAAGTTCAAGGCTAGGCTCAAGAGACCTCGTAGCTTCTGCCTTCTCCCTCTTAGGTTGCTGCCCTGAGACGCCATGAAGGAATTTGGAGGAAGAGAGGCCCCGGCCGATAGCCAGACCGGCCACCCGACACGCGGGCGAGGCCATCTTGGACCTTACAGCTGAGCTGATGTTCCCCAGCTGCTGGAGTGAGCCCCAGGAAACTGGGCAAGGGAGCACTCAGTCCACCCACAGAACCTCGCGAAAGAATATAGCACTGTCGTCTAGGTTTTGGGGTGGTTTGTTACACAGCACAGGCTAACCGAAGCCCAGAGAAAGGAAGGGACTTAGCCAAGGTCTCACCCACAGTGAGACAAAGACCAAGTTCGACTAGGACCAGGTTTTCTAGCTGCCGCCGCCGAGAGCCCTTGCCACCAGCGTCCTGAGGCCAAATTCATTGGCCCAGCCTGGTGTGTGTGCCGGGAGCGGGTGTAAGCAGACAGACCCCCTCCCTCTCCCCCCCCCCGCCCCCTGCCCTAGGTTACAGAGGCTTAGCTGCCACCCACACAGGGCTTTCCTGCCCATCATCTCTTGGGAGGGAGGGGTGGTCCTCCCATTCTACAGATGATGAAACTGAGGCCAAGAGCAGATGGGCAACTTACTGGCAGCCACACAGCGGTGAAGTAGCAAAGCTCCAGCTCAAGCCCAGGTCCTCTGAAGCCTGCTCAGGATCTTTCCCATTGGCTCCCAGGAAGGAAAATGGCGGGTGGTAAGGTCCCCTCCAGGGCTCAGTGTCTCAGCAAGGGACACATACATACCACACACAGACACACTCACATCATGGTCTCTCTCTCTCTATCTCTTCTCTGCTTTTTGTCTTCAACCAGCCTACCCTAATGGACCATATACTTTATTAAAAATATATAGTTACAAACTCCATTATCAATCTGGGCTGGACCCCGGGGATCTGGAGGGACCACAGGAGGTCCTCATCCTGCCCGTCGGGGTCCCACCTCTCTACCCAAACCCAACACCATCCAGGGGCCAAGATGGCTGGCTTTGGGGACCAGCCGGCTGGGCAGGGGAAGGGGCTAGGCTTGCCAGGCCGGGAGGGGGAGGGGTTCACAGAGAGGGATTGCACCTCCTTGTCCTGCAGTTACAAATGGCAGAAGGTGGATTTGGTGCCTCCATCTCTCCATTTATAGATATTTACAAAAGAAAGTCAAGAGCAACTGGTCACAGTCATGCAAAAGAAACGCACTCCCACCCTCCCTCCCCCCACACTAACCCCTGCCCACCCCAGAACCCTGCGATGCCCAACCCCCAGCAGTCCAGCCGCCTTCCCCAAGGTTCTGAGAGTAAAGGGGGCACGTCCTTGAAGTGTCAGTGGGAAAAGGGTGGTGGGTCTGGGGTCCCCGAGATGCCAGTGGGTAGGCTGACAGGGCAGAGGGTATCCTGGGCCCTTCCCAGGCCTGAGCTCTGGAGTCAATAGGAAGGGGTTCCCCAGTCTTTGAAGCCCCCCACCTCCCTCCGGAAGGTCCACGGAGCCTGGGTCAGCTCTGTCCTGAGTGTGGAGGGGGTGTCCTGGCACCCCACCCCCTGCAGAGGCTCGTGTGCGAAGTGATGAAGGCGGGGCCTGGAGGTCAGATGGCGGACTCCCTGCGGTAGGAGATGTTGTCCAGCGGGAGGGTGGCTTGCATGCGCTCCAGATCCAGGTGGCTGCCAAACTCCAGCATTCGGATGATGCCCGCCTCCTCCTTGGAGCCCGCCTCCAGGCCCAGGCCCGCGGCCACGGCAGCAGCGGCTGCCGCCTCCTCCTCCATCTCCTCTTCCTCCTGGCTCATGAGGGCCAGCTCGTTCTCATAGCAGAAGGCACTGGGCGGGGGCGGCGGGGCAGGCAGCACGGTGATCTTGCTCTCCTGCAGCTCCCGGGCGGAGCAGCAGGGCGTGCCGGCCACCTCGTAGGTCTTGTGGAAGCGCGAGTAGTCCACCTTGTAGTGGCTCTTCTCCTCGAAGACCACGGGCTCAAAGCGGTGGCCCCACAGGATCTCACTGGCCAGGTAGGAGCTGCGGGCCTGGGTGGTCATGGCGGTGGCCTCCACCATGCCCTCGAGGATGACCACGATCTCAAAGTCCTCCGACTCTAGCTCCTCCTTGCCCATGCCATAGAGCGGGCTGTCCTCGTCGATCTCGTGGACGATGATGATGGGCGACACCAGGAAGATGCGGTCTAGGCCGATGTCGTAGCCCACGTTGAGGTCCCGCTGGTCCAGTGGCAGGTACTCGCCCTCCTGGGTCATGTAGGGCTTGATGAGCTGGGCCCGCACGTGGGCCTCCACGATGTGGCTCTTGCGCAGGTTGCCCACGCGCCACATCAGGCAGAGCTTGCCGTCGCGCACCGAGATGACCGCGTGGTGGCTGAACAGCAGCGTCTGCGCCCGCTTCTTGGGCCGAGCCATCTTGGCCATGATGGTGCCGATCATGAAGGAGTCGATGACGCAGCCCACGATGGACTGGACCACCACGGCAATGACCGCCAGCGGGCACTCCTCCGTCACGCACCGGAACCCGTAGCCGATGGTCGTCTGCGTCTCCACCGAGAACAGGAAGGCGCCCAGGAAGCCGTTCACGTGCATGATGCAGGGCTTGGGGGCCGTCGGGGCGGCGGCGCCACCGCCCGTCGGGGCCCCCCCTGCCGCCGCCGCTGCCGCCGCCGCTGCCGCCGCCGCTGCCGCTGGGCCAGCCTCCAGGTCGCCGTGGAAGAAGGCGATACACCAGAAGAGGAGGCCAAAGAAGAGCCAGGAGACCAGGAAGGCGGCAGAGAAGATCATGAGCATGTAGCGCCAGCGCGTGTCCACGCAGGTGGTGAAAATGTCTGCCATGTAGCGCTGCGACTTGTTGCTCAGGTTGGCGAAGTAGACGTTGCATTGGCCGTTCTTCTTGACGAAGCGGTTGCGGCGTTTCCGCCGGGGCACGTGGGCCTGCCCGTTGCGGCTGTGCCCGTGCATGTCCTGAAGCCGGCGTGGTCACCTGGGAAGACGCAGGGCCTGGGGAGGGGAAGCCCGACAGGTGAGATGCTGGTGGCCCGGGAAGCCCCCCCTCTTCCCCCCGCCAGAGGCTCAGAAGGGGAAGAGCCTGGCCTAGGGCCCGGGACCTCCTCGAGCCCCGCAGAGGGAACGTGGCGGGGAAGGGGCTTCTGAGGTCCGGGAGGGAGTGTGAGGGCCTGAGCCAGTGCCTCCAAGGACCAGAAGCTGAGGCCAGCAGGACGGCCCTGGTGCTGGCCACCTCCGGCCCTCCTTGGCCCCCACCCCGTCCGGGGAGCTTCCTGGCACCCGTCTTGGCTCCACCATCTGTCCCCCTTGCCCTGAGCAGAGGGAGCTGTGAGCACTCTGGCCCCTGCTCACCTCCTGGGTTCAGCCTCTGCCCTCTTGGCTCTGTCTGGGGCTGGACATCCTCCCAAGCTGGCCCGAAGAGCGGCCAACGGCCCCCCGTGGCTTTGTACATTTACTTAAGATTAAATACAGTTTTAACTGCACTTCCCCATATTTCAAGCGCTCAGTAGCCACTTGCGGCTAACGGCTGCCATGACCAGACGGAGTTGATATAGAACATTTGCCTCATTGCAGAAAGTCCTACCAGACTGCGCTGGGACCCGAGGCCCCATGTCGGTTCCTGTCCTGTCCCCAGACCTGCTGGGAACAGAAGTGGGTGAAGACACCAATGGTGGTGGTCAAGACGGAGGAAGGGGGAGCCCCAAGCTTTGGCTCCTATGTAGACATTGCTAGTCCCATGTCACAGGTGAGGGAGCAGGGCTCAGAGACGGGGAGTGACCTGCCCAAGGCCACACAGCTGTTGAGTAAATCCAAACTCAGGTGTGTCTAACCTTCAGCCCCCAGGTGCTGTCAACCTCCATGAGCTCACGGGTCCGGAGGCAGGGAGGCAGACACACCCACTGCCTCACTGTGACACCTCAGAAAACTCATTTCCCCTCACCTGTAAAATGGAGATCAAAAGCCTACCTCACAGGACCCGAGGAGGTTGTGGGTGCTTGGTTAAAGCCAGTCACCCTCCTGCCTGACTTCCCGAGTCTCCAGAGCAGGAGGACGCGGGCGAGAGGCAGGATTTGCCTGTCAGCCTCCTCAGCTGTGTTTCAGTGGAGGCGGCCCTCACCCCGCTGGGGCGGCAGAAGCACCAGCCGGGCCCATGGAGGGCAGACCCTCCCTCCACCCCTCCCCTCCGCCGGGGCCCCAGGAGAGAGAGGGTGCTGCCTGGGGCCCCAGCTCCTGGCAGGGCTGGGCCTGGGCCTGGGCTCCCGGTAACGTTTTGGCCCAGAATTATATAAGGCTGGAAGTTTCTATTTTCTGTTCTATTCTTCTTCCTGATCTAATTGTGCATCTGTGGCAATGTTTATACACTTCCCCGTTCAGGACAACTCGGTTGCCGGAGCAACCGGTGCGCGCCAACGCTGTAATTTAGAGATCAACAGCCTGGTGCCTGCCTGCGCCTCTTCCCGGGAGAAACTCCCTCCCTCGGCCGGGCCTGGGGAGAGTGAGCCCTGCCCCCCACCACCCCCGCGATCACCCCCCACTCTGGGTTCTTCTCCCTTCCCAGCCTTTGCTCCCTGGATCATCCACCACGTAACATGGGGGGGCAAGTTACTTGGCTGCTGCGAGCCTCAGTTTCTTCATCTGGAAAATAGGACCAGTGAGACCCATCGGTCTGAAGATCTAACAATGTGGGTGTGCAATGCTGGCCCTTAAGAGGTCATAACTTTAGCTGGGAGTCCCAGGCCCTGTCTGCCACCTCCCCCAGAGGCCTAACAGCCAGGGCTCCAGGTGGGAGCCCTGAAGAAATTGGGGGCCAGGGGCACCTTCTGGGTTTTAGGGAGGTCATCCTTCACTAAGCATCTCCGTCTCTGCTCTGTCCCGCTGTCTTGAATGCCTCCAGGAGCACCACAGAAGAAACTGGAAATCACTGATTTCAAGACCCTCATTTTATATCTGAGGCCCAGGAAGCACAGACCCGGGATGGATTGGCTAAGGGTCCCAGATGGAGGCAGAGTGGACCAGCCTGAGCCAGGGCTCCTCATTCCCACTCCAGAGCCCTTGGGAGGTGAAGGTGCTCCTGGAAAGAGGAGCCTCCTCCCTGGAGTGCTTGGGGCAGGGTTTGCTGCAGGAGAAGGCTCTTTATGGGGCTCCCACTCTCTAGGAGGGCCCAGGGCTGAGGGTAAGGGAGATGGTCCCCGCGTGCTCCAGGCTGCTGGTCCTCACTCACCAGCACGGCCCACTTTCCCCTGGTCCTGAGTGCGAGTGGCAGGATCAGCCCGGCCCCAGGATCCAGGGTCAGCCCTGAGGCTCCGCATGTCCCCACCCGACACTTCCCCACCCCCAGCTTCAACCCTCACCCCGAGCCCCTGCTTTTCCATCACCCCATCCGCACCAGCCTCACATCTCAGCCCAGTGGGGGCACAGCTTGTCCTGCACCCCTGCGTCTCCTCTCCTGGTCATAGCAGTGTCCTCAAGCCCCTGCGAAGTTCCACGCCCTGTGCCCACGGCTCTGCTCTGCCATGTTCAGCCATGCTCGGAAATGTCTGCTCCTGGGCCTATGGGAAGGCTGCCCCAGACCCATCAGCCTCCGCCACGGAGGAGCCTGTGTGCCGCCTGTCCCCCTGGGGACCCTCGGTTGGTGAGGGCCCTGTCTGCAGGGACCCGTTCAAATAAGTGAGCGCTCCTGTCCCTGCTGACTCCTTCGGCAGGAACGAGAGGCTCACCAGCCAGCGCGTGGGCTGACCCGCACGATGCACGACCGAAAAGTGAAAAGTCTGAAGCTTGGCCTCATGCTTGCATGGGACAGCCACCTGGGACACAGCCAGGTTTTCTGTCCCTTGTTTGTCACACGAGGCTTCCTGGCAAAGGCCCAAGGGCCCAAGGGGAACGTGCGCAAGAGAAGGGGCACAGATGGTCAAAGAAGGCAAACGGCATTGACAACTGGGTATCCCCCTCCTCTGAATATAGGTGTGCTTTTGGAGAGAGCGCGTCCCGTGGATCGTGTCTACAGTGAAACCGTACTTTTCCAGAAGGCAAGGAGCTGGTGTCCATTCTCTTGCAACAAGCGTGCCGGGAAATGAACACACATGGGGGAACTCGGTTTCAGCACGTTTCCTACGGTGGAGGCTGCGGGAGGCCAGGCCCCCCTCACTGCCTTGCGGGGTGACTTTGGACAAGTCCTTCTCCTTCCGGGCCAGCTTCCTGGGCCGGTCGCTACCCTTGACCCTGAGTGCATCCTGAGACTCCTTTCATGGTCAACATTCTTTCTTCAGGGAAAGGAAAGGGATGGGAGATGCCGGCTGCTTTTAAAAACATAATGTCCTTTCTTGGCGAAGTGAAGGATTGAGATGCTGCGCCAGTTACCAAACTTTTTCTTTTCCTTTAATTTTACGGTGCTGTCAACATCCCAAATCCGGAGCCCCCTAGTCCAGACTTCACTGGACAACTAGAGAAACTGAGGCCAGGAGCAGGGCTGTGGCACAGGGAGGCAGTGGCTAGCCAAGGACATTCTGGCCTCGGGGAGCTGGTGAAGGTGACCAGCAGGGCTGTCAACTCGTTGGCACCATCGCTAGCCTGCTCCTCCTGGGTGACGGCCGGACGCCCGGCCTGCCATGGGTCCAGAGGAGGCAGGAGAAAGACCCCACGCCTGTCACTAGGTTTTCCCTCTGATTTTATGACCCACAACTCCCTTTGCCAAAGAAAAGCTGATAAAGGGACAGCAGCCCCAGGGGGACTCCAGCAACCCCGGCCGACCGTGAGGACAAATCTCCCAGTGTGCACCCACCCCCAGCACGGGAGAACCGCTGGTGGCTGCAGGGGCACGTCACCCTGGTCCCCAGCCCGCAGCAGCAGCCCTTCCTGAGACAGGGACCAGGCAGGCTCTCTAGAGAGCAGGAGGAAGGGGACACTTAGCAAGACTGCAGGGCCTTGATGCATGTTGTTGTTACTGGATGGGACAATAGGGGAGGTGATGTGAGTTGCCCGAGGTCACATTCCTCAGCCCTGGGGCCCAGCTGAACCTGTCGTCCTCTCAGTGGCTGCTCTCAGGGAAGGAACCTTCTGGAAGCGTCAGCTCCCTGCCTGATCTATCTCCCTGAAGCGTCACTGCAAGGCTTTGTTTATTTAACAAGTATTTATTAAGCACCAACCGCAGCAACAAGCAGGGTTATTATTCCTCTTCCCAGCTGAAGAATCACAGGCTGGGGGGGGGGGGAGTAGGGAGGAGAATGGGGGTCGCCCCGCAGAAGCGGCAAAGCTGGGATTCCCACTCAGGTCTGGCTGGCTCCAGCTCCCCGGCTCACCCTGGTCCCCCAGTCTCCGGCTTCGGGCTCCCTTCGCCTTCCACAACGCCCCGCTCAAGGCGGATCCCTCGTGTCTCTCCACGGCCCCCCAGGCCCAGCCCCAGCCCCTCCAGTCTCTGAATCTTCCCAGGCTGCCTTGCCAGCCGCAGCCCTGCCTCCTCTGAGCCCCTTGGCTCTCACTGCCTGTCTGCTCCACTGGGCTCCTTCTTGACTTTAGGAAAAGGACATGCTGGCTAAGCCCTTGTGTTTCGCCGGCAGGACCTGGCTCTCAGGCTCAGCTCTGTCACCTCCTAGCGTGTCCTCTTTGGACCTCAGTTTCCTCGTCTGCAAAGCGGACATGACAGCGATAGTACCTACCTCACCAGACCCCTGACGAGGCGAGTGTGACAACCACTAGGAACAGAAACGCGGGCCGGGGGCTCCACAGGGCTTTGCAGGTGGAATGCACGGAACATGCAGATGCTGCTGGTGGTGGTGGTCGTGGTGATGAGGAGGGGGAGGAGGAGGAATACGACACAGGACAGGGGACTGGGGGCCGGGAAACCCAGCATCAGGTCCTGGCTTCACTAACTGCTCCAGCCAGGTGCTCCTTCTCTCCATCTGCAAAACGGGGGACCATATTTGCTCCCTGGCAGGAGAGCAGGAAGATGTAAGAAACAA